GCTCTGGCACAGCTCCTGCGGCACTTCTGTCATTTTAGCCCTGCCCGGATGGTTCCAATTCAGGGGCTGCCCAGCCTGGAGCTCTTGCCTGAGGCGGGGAGGAGCACCACCCAAGCCAGTGTGGACTGAACCCAGTGCAGGGGATGATGGCACCGGCACACTGGGCTTGTCAGGGGTCGCCTCCAACAGGGAAGCCAGTGTGTGAGTTGCTGGGGCTGTGAGAGAAACGCCAGTAGGAGGCCCAAGATGTGCGGCACATCCAGCCTGGGTCAAGGTGGCTGCCTGTGCGGGGAGAGGACCTCAGGCAGGGGCTGTGTGCTGGGGAATTAGCTCAAGTGGTAGAGCGCTCGCTTAGCATGTGAGAGGCAGCGGGATCGATGCCCGCATTCTCCAATGCTTTTCGTTCCCCTTGCCTGGACACAGGGCCCTTGGCCTGGGGCCCTCTGTCCTCTGGCGGCTGCGGGGAGAACGTGGTGTGCCCAGGCTTTACAGAGGACGACGACATCCAGGGATCTATCAAGAGCTGTATGGGCAGTTTACCGGAGGAAGTGAATTTCTCCCTCTTTGCTTGACAGTCGTCAGATGTCCCCCTTGGTACTTTTTCCCGCTCCCCCATAGAGGAAGGGCATCAACGCAATGGTGCAGCCTCGGTGCAGGGCCAATAAAAAGCCCAGAGAATGGAGGGTTTTCTCTCTGAATATGGGCTGAGGACAGTGGGCATGTTCATCTTTTAGGGCGAGAGGATCGGGGAGCTTCTGGACGACCTGCCAGCTCGTAGGATTTGGTTTCTGTGTAGAGGAATGGCTGTGCATCATTCTGGTGCTTGGCCGGAGGGCAAAAGGGAGCACGGTGAAACTGAAGCGAGGGAAGCTGCAGCAGGGTATGAGTAAGCTCCTTGTACCACTGAGGAGAGTCCTGCTGAAGAAGATGCCGTGCAAGGATCCCGTGGAGCCTTTCTGTCTGTGTGCATGTGCAAATTGACGGGCTCTAGGGTTGAGCAAGGGAGCGCGATGACGGAGCTGAGTCTGTGTGGAGAGGGATGCTGGGCTAGAGGCATCAGAGAACACTGCGGATAGGGAAGTGTTGGATGAGTGTGTGATGGGCGAGGCAGTGGGCAGAGCCCCATGATTCCTTCGATAGCTCAGCTGGTAGAGCGGAGGACTGTAGGCTCCCTTGCACGGCCATCCTTAGGTCGCTGGTTCAACTCCGGCTCGAAGGAGCGCCCTTTTGGCTCTGACCCATGCCCTGGGGCACCTCTGCCTTTTTAGCCCTGCCCAGATGGCTCCACTTCAAGGGCTGCCCAGCCTGGAGCTCTTGCCTGAGGCGGGGAGGAGCACCACCCAAGCCAGTGTGGACTGAACCCAGTGCAGGGGATGATGGCACCGGCACACTGGGCTTGTCAGGGGTCGCCTCCAACAGGGAAGCCAGTGTGTGAGTTGCTGGGGCTGTGAGAGAAACGCCAGTAGGAGGCCCAAGATGTGCGGCACATCCAGCCTGGGTCAAGGTGGCTGCCTGTGCGGGGAGAGGACCTCAGGCAGGGGCTGTGTGCTGGGGAATTAGCTCAAGTGGTAGAGCGCTCGCTTAGCATGTGAGAGGCAGCGGGATCGATGCCCGCATTCTCCAATGCTTTTCGTTCCCCTTGCCTGGACACAGGGCCCTTGGCCTGGGGCCCTCTGTCCTCTGGCGGCTGCGGGGAGAACGTGGTGTGCCCAGGCTTTACAGAGGACGACGACATCCAGGGATCTATCAAGAGCTGTATGGGCAGTTTACCGGAGGAAGTGAATTTCTCCCTCTTTGCTTGACAGTCGTCAGATGTCCCCCTTGGTACTTTTTCCCGCTCCCCCATAGAGGAAGGGCATCAACGCAATGGTGCAGCCTCGGTGCAGGGCCAATAAAAAGCCCAGAGAATGGAGGGTTTTCTCTCTGAATATGGGCTGAGGACAGTGGGCATGTTCATCTTTTAGGGCGAGAGGATCGGGGAGCTTCTGGACGACCTGCCAGCTCGTAGGATTTGGTTTCTGTGTAGAGGAATGGCTGTGCATCATTCTGGTGCTTGGCCGGAGGGCAAAAGGGAGCACGGTGAAACTGAAGCGAGGGAAGCTGCAGCAGGGTATGAGTAAGCTCCTTGTACCACTGAGGAGAGTCCTGCTGAAGAAGATGCCGTGCAAGGATCCCGTGGAGCCTTTCTGTCTGTGTGCATGTGCAAATTGACGGGCTCTAGGGTTGAGCAAGGGAGCGCGATGACGGAGCTGAGTCTGTGTGGAGAGGGATGCTGGGCTAGAGGCATCAGAGAACACTGCGGATAGGGAAGTGTTGGATGAGTGTGTGATGGGCGAGGCAGTGGGCAGAGCCCCATGATTCCTTCGATAGCTCAGCTGGTAGAGCGGAGGACTGTAGGCTCCCTTGCACGGCCATCCTTAGGTCGCTGGTTCAACTCCGGCTCGAAGGAGCGCCCTTTTGGCTCTGACCCATGCCCTGGGGCACCTCTGCCTTTTTAGCCCTGCCCAGATGGCTCCACTTCAAGGGCTGCCCAGCCTGGAGCTCTTGCCTGAGGCGGGGAGGAGCACCACCCAAGCCAGTGTGGACTGAACCCAGTGCAGGGGATGATGGCACCGGCACACTGGGCTTGTCAGGGGTCGCCTCCAACAGGGAAGCCAGTGTGTGAGTTGCTGGGGCTGTGAGAGAAACGCCAGTAGGAGGCCCAAGATGTGTGGCACATCCAGCCTGGGTCAAGGTGGCTGCCTGTGCGGGGAGAGGACCTCAGGCAGGGGCTGTGTGCTGGGGAATTAGCTCAAGTGGTAGAGCGCTCGCTTAGCATGTGAGAGGCAGCGGGATCGATGCCCGCATTCTCCAATGCTTTTCGTTCCCCTTGGCCTAGGCCATGGTGCCCTAGGGTTGAGGAGTTTCACTTGCATTTGTCATAGGTCTAGGGTAGGTGTTAGTCCTGTGTGTTAGGCGGTCATTTAATGTATTTCACTGTTACTTACAGATTTCTAATGAAAATCTTAATATCCAGTGTGAATTCTCATCCAGAGTTTTCACTGTACTTTTTATGTTGTACATAATATATAAATCTATTTCTTTATATACTTCTGAATAAAAAAGTAGAAATGTTGTATGTCTCTGCTTATTACTTCATTGTCGGACCAGAAAGCTGAGTTCTAATTAGAGTTTGGGGTTTTTTTTATGCCACATATCTCTCTAAATATTATTTTCATTGTGTATTGAACATACACACATCTCCTTTGAATTTCTGTTGATTATAAGCCTGCTAACTTTATTCTTTGATATATCAGATTGTGCCAGACTCCAAATAAAAGCATAGAGATGTATCTCTGTCATGTTTATTAAAAAGAAAATTTTGCCCTGGGCTGTGCTACTATGATTAATACTGACTTAATTAATAATGGTAGAAAACTCGGAATCAGGTATTGCTGGTTTTATACCCTGTACTAAAGAATACCAGTTCAGCAGCAGATTTTTGGATTAACATTAATTAAAAGATAATTAAAGCAAATATATGAGACTGACTCATCATTTTATCTTGCAAATATTTACAGCTATTCCATTAAAAGTGAATCCCTCTGACATTTCCACTTTATTCAGAAGCAGCCTTTTTTTTGCTGTAATTACTAATAAAGATGGATAAAGCACCACGCTAAGTTTTACCATAGATCACTGTGTAAATCATCTGTATGCATGTTTAGCATTAAATAAAGTTAATTCCATTCTACATTCTTCCATGACAACTCTCTCCTTTGGGGATTAAAGAAGGCCTCCTTCCCAGAAAATTAAACGTAAATGTTACAGGAAAACATGAGTTTTGATACAGCAGAACCATGGGACTTCAACAGTTTTGTTTCCACTGTGTGAAAAGTTTGGACATTCACTACTTCTCCCACCTCCATTAGAAACAGAAAGTGGGAGCGATGCAGTTTTTTCAAAAACACAGAAGACAGAGTGCCAGCAAAGTTCAAGCTAAACAGTGATGCAAGTAGATCTATTTCATAACCCCTTTTTTACTTAAATATATTCTTACATTTGAGAGGAGAAGCAAGTCGTGGTAAAGTTTGACTGGTAATACAGTGCAACCAACTACACCCAGAATGATGCTGTAATAAAAGTTTTACTATATTTATTAAACCTGCAATTACATGTCTAGCATATTTTGATGTCAAGAACATCTATTTAACTCATGACATTTAAAGTTTTTTCTCTTTCAATAGCAGCAGAACAGATATAAAAGCAAAATGACCCATAAAATCTTCTAGTCTTACTTCTAGGTTGTGTTACATTTCAACAATAAAATACTTTTCACCATTTTGATAACTTGTGTTTGAGTAAAACTTAAAGTCCTCTCTTCTTTTTTAATATTAACCTACCATTTCCTCCGCCAGTATGTTTCAGCAGTTAGTTACGCTTACTGTTAAAACCATGCGTCGCTTTCAGCTCAAATTACTTCTATATTCCAAGCACGGGTTTTGGTTATGCCTGCCTTCATAAAGTGAAGAATACTCTCACACCTAGCATTTTTCCCTTCAAAAATATTACACAGTATAATCAAATAATCTATCAGTTGTCTTCTTTATGACAAGAGAATCTGATCAAACTCCTGTCTCTAGTTTTTGAATTGTTATTATAGCACTTTTCTGCGTTGGCATTACTTTTTCAACATACTTCAGGAAAAGATGCTCTCATGAGAACTGGGTGCAGTATTCAAAGACTGCACTTCACAAGCATAGTCTGCATTATTTTATCCTAACAGTCTGACCTGTCGTTCAACTAGATTAAAACATTTTAGATGAAGCACACAGATTGCTTATGGGATGAAATAGATAGGTTCACATTGCATCATCTCTGAATCTTTGCAGGCGTGTGGTACAAAAACCACGTTGTAACAATCAGTGTCTACAGTGCAGGTAACTCAGATGGTTTTGCCATCATAATCATGCCAGACACACAAGCATTTTTAGACATGTTGCAAAGCACATTTTACATACCTGTAGGACTTCTTAATCTCATCATGTGTTGCTCCCTTCTCTAGGGCCAGGATTTCATATAACGCTTCCCCTGCCGTTGACAAAGCACGCTGCCGTTGTTCAGCCATGTTAGCAGTACATTACCAAAGCTGCTAATGTAGAACAGAATTCCAAATAGCAGGGACTGCAAGTATATATGGATAGTATTTCTTATTGTTTATTTTAATAGACTTTAACCAGGTAGTAAAAAGTTAAAGATACTTGAAAGTGAAATTAATATAAAATCTCCTCTAAATTATCCTCTATCCCTTAAGATATTTTACAATTATTTAAGAAAATGGAAAACCAAAACAAAAACCAGGTCTTGTGCTAGGTATCACTGTTTGTATTAATGGCTTGATGTTGCTCTCACTGAAATGAATGGCTAAATTTCCTATAGCATTAAAGCCTGCACATAGTATTTCCACCTAGTTTTATTGATGTTTGTTTACATCTTTTCTATGTCTTAGAAGAATTGTTCTACTATTTGTTAAGGCTATTGACTTCCCAAAGTGGCATAAGACCTTTGTACCTCTAAGTATAACCTAATGCAACACAGTGGTGAATTTTTACTTTCTCAACACAAGGACTCAGATTCAGCCTAACCAATTTTAGGTGCCCAAGTTAAGTGATTAAGTTTCAAACTTAGTCAAACTAGATTTCTTATATTGTCAACAGACAGAGCTACATACTCAGCGGCCAACCAACCAAGCACTTTCTCCCTATTACCTCTACTACAGTGTGCTCAGGATGACTGCAGTCCCAACTCATGTGCCTGAGGGCAGGTGGAATGGATCTGGACATAGGCAATGAGGCTAGATATCAAGAATTGACCTCAGTATTATAAAAGCAACCATTTATTTCAAACTTATGCATGGAAAATACTGACATCAATCGGGGTCCTATTATTTGAGATACAAGACTTGGGGTTGAATTCATGAGCTTGTGATAAATTTTAAGAGGTGCCTTTAAAGTATAGAGCAAATAAAGGCTAAGCATAGGCTGACAGATTTAATCCACTTCAGATCTATCATTCATTCCTTCTTTCATCACAGAAGCAAAGCAGACAAACAAGTGATTCTCCACTGAGTGGCTCTACTATCTCCTTACAGTTCATAGTTCATCCTTCTGGATTTGAAGAACCAAACATTTTTAAATCAGACATAGCTAATGCTAGGCAATGACATGAAGAAACTCATATAAACCATAATGTAAAACACCAGATATAGATACCTATCATTCAGAAGAGAAAGGTGCAGCTCTTTGATCACAGACTTGCCACAACAAAACTCTCACCACAACCTCTTTATTTCTATGTATGTTGCACTCTTCTCCAAATGTTGAGAAGTGATCACAGAAAAAGGCTAAAAGTGAGCGGTAACCCAGCCATAAGAAAAATTTCTGAGAACCTGTTTTGTTAGATAAGACTACCCACTGCTATTTCACCCTTCTCATTGCTGAACTAGAAACTCTATCTTGCCATTATTCATGTATTATTTACTAGGCCACATAGGTTCTGGACCTATGGTCAGAACCAGTCGTGTAACACTTTTAAGCTCTTCGGCTTTGTTCAATACCAAAGGGAAAAATCAAATACCATCTAAATGTACACAGAAATATAATTCACTGAGTAATTCTGGCACATAGTATCTGATTTACCAAAAGACCTAAATTTATTCATATTTACTTTGATGTTTTCCTTTTCTAATAAAACTAACACACAATTTAGGGTGTGTTCTAAATTTCTGCTGAAAAAAAAGTTCCTTCCTACTTTTAAGTGTCGTATCAAAGCATCAACTAAAGGGACTGAACTTTTGGTTTTAAATTAACAATTAAGAACAAAATTATATATGAGCATCTAGATATTACTTTACCACCTGCATAATTACAATGCTACTTGTTAATAACAGTATGTCCAGAGCTATTTAATAATATAATCCTGGGATCTATCTTGATCACACTGGAATCATGCAAGGGATATCAAGCCTGTTAATGCACCGGATAATGGTGGGCAACCATGTGAAGTCACAGATATACATAATTATTTTTACATTCCATTACATAATACTGATTGGGTAGATGGTAACCCTGAAGCATAACATAAAATTAAAGTTACGATGGATTTTATTCTGAAGAACTAAAAATTCATGTAATTTATACTTTCTCATAAAATAATTTTAATAATCTAGTCAGCTATGAAAATTTAGACTCACTAGCCTATTCAGTCTTCTAGGGATTAATCACCCTGAAGGTCTAGCTACTTAAAATTATTTCTTACTTATTTAAAGCAGTACTATAAAATACTAAAAGAACAATGAAATGACACTTTTCTAGAAAAAGTTATGCTCTCTTTATTAAGGAAGATATAACAGTTACAGTCTTAGTACTAGATATATTCCTGATGTCTGCAATTACATTAGAATCCTATTTTCAAGCTGTGTACTTTTGTTCCAGTAGAACAGAGTCAAGAAAATACTGTTTCCTTCCCTGAATGACAATAAACTATGTTAAAAGAGAATCCAAATTCTGATAACAATTCCACATATCCAAAGAGGATGGGACCTCTAGCTATTTCTGCACAATTTTTTTACTATCCAAGATTAACTATCTTATATAGGGGTTGTAATAGTATGCCTTTTCTCTACAATACCCATTTTTCGGATTTGTGCTGAAAAATAAGGCAAGGTGATTCAAATAACATACCTGCTTCAAAAGGTGATGGAACACAATCTGGTATGTGTAAACTCACAACATTATCAGTTCAATATCTCTGTGTCTTTATGCCAATATAATCCAAAAGGAAAGAAGAAAGTGCCGCCAGAAGCCCTGTTCCACAGAAACTCAGCTGCTGCTTTTCATCCTTTGCAATCAAGGTTAAACAGGTCAGTGGAGTACGATTACTCCTTCTGTTTGTTTGTTTAGTATCCAATTGGTTACCTCTCAGGACGATCTATGAAAGAACAAATAAAACATTCATGAGCCTAAAGGCTGATATATCTGAGAGTTAATGACACCAAAAAATATGGGACAACTGTGTATTTAGTTAGTTGTTCTTCTGTGCTTTGCTCTTGATGGGGTCTTGAGTTTGTCTTTTTTCCCCATGCAAATATATTAAATTTGTTTAAAGATACAACAGCCTTGCTCTAAAGTTCACTTCTTTGAGACCAGCCATGGCTTAGGTTTACTATATAGTCTCTTCCAAGACAGGATTAACTGAAGAAGTCCCTTTAGGACTCCTCCTGAGTTCTTGTAAATTTTTATTAGCAAAACAGAAGATGTAGGGGGTCTTCTCTTATGCTGATGGAGCTTCTCCTCTAACTTATACCATGAAAAAGGTCTGGAGAGCCATTCATTTTTATTGGACTATAAATGCCAAAGACTTAAAAAAACAATTGCTCTTGGTATGTCATCTTTGGAACCAAATATTTCATCCTTTGAACTCAAAAAGTTCATTTCCCAGATCACCCAATTCCAAATTAATGAGGTTTTGTAGTGTGCTCACCTTGGCTGGCTGCCAGACCCCCACCCAGCCACTGTCTCACTTGCACTCCTCACCAGAACAGAATAGAAGGAGAAAATAAGATGAAAAGCTCATAGATCAAGATGAAGATAGGAAGGTCACTTACCAATTACTGTCACAGGCAAAACAGACTCAACTTGGGAAAATCAATTTATTGGCAATTAAAAGAGATTTGGATGGTGAGAAACAAAGACAAAAATTAAAACAACATCTTCCACTCACCACCCTATTTCTAGGCTCAGATTCACTCCTTCAATCCCAACTCATCTACCCCCACCCCTGAGTAGCACAGGGCAGACAGGGAATTGTGGGTTGTGGTGAATTTGTAACAGCTTCTCTCTGCTGCTCCTTCCTCCTCACACTTTCCTCCTGATTCATTATAGGTCCCCCCACAGGCTGCAGTCTTTCGCAAACTGCTCCAGTGGGAGTCCTCCACAGGGCATGTTTCCTGTGAGGGAGAACCTCTCATACGTGGGCTCCTGTCCATGGACCACAGTTCCTTCAGGAAACATCCACCTTCTCTGGCATGTAGTGGATAGGCTGCAGCAAAATACCTGCTCCACCATGGCCCTCTCCACAGGCTGCAGGGGGATCTCCGCTCCAGGGCCTGGAGCATCTCCTCTTCTTCTTCTCTGACCTTGGTGTTCACAGGGCTGTTTCTCACACCTTTCTCTCACTCCCCACTGCCATGCAGTGTTTTGTTCTTTCTTAAATATATCTTCCTAGACAAGGCACCAGCTTGGCTGATGGGCTTATCTGTGTCCTGCAGTAGGTCTGTTGTGGAGCCGTCTGTATCCAGTCCCCGACCTCCTCCCTAGAGGAGTGTGCCTAGAGTGCCCCACTACCTAAACCTTGCCATTGACACCTGGTACACTTTTACATAGACTAAAGTCCCAGAAACTGATTCATGGGGACCCATAACCCAGTAAAGTCTGCTTTGGTAAGAGTCAAGTCAGTTTGTGCTTGGATTTTACTGCAAGATTGGAACTATAATAATTAAAAAACCAAACAAACAAACAAAAAAAACAAACACAAAAACAAATGTGTAAATGATTACGATCATATAAAGACACTACGAAAAAGGAAGCAACAGTCTGACAGCTGATAAAAGATTAAATGGATGCTTTTTAATACGAAGAACGTGATTTTAACATTTCCCTTGGTCTTAGGTACGTTCTTTAATGTCAAATGTTTCCTCAAATTTCAGCTTTGGATAGGGACAAGGCAAGGCACTTTTCAACCTAAAATGTGTTTGTCAAAGTTATGAGGAGTCAAAACAGCATAGTCAAAATATCTTTTCCAGGACATTAACAAGAGTAACTACAGCTAGTTCTATTATGTTGTATGAACATAATAAACTAAATTATTCAATCACCTTGCTTGATCTTAACCTTTGAAATGACTTAATCATTCTTGCAAAACAAAACAAAACGTACATTTTTTAATGGCAAGAAGAAATTAAGGGATAAAAAATAGAAAGAAGAAAATAAAATCACTCTGAGGTTACCCGAATTCTCTATACTTATTTACATCCTATTATCAAGAAAAACACTCTTCTGCAATCCTGTCACATCCGTAGACCTACAGTTCTGTGTGAATACAGCTCCCTCTGGCGTTTTGAGTGCTCTGTAACCTGTGCTGCTTTTCTTTTAAGCCCTCCTGTTCTGTTTGAAGGAAATGAACACAACCTCCGCAAATCCAGTTTTTTCCTTTGGGAATTCTACATCCTAAGCACATTCTAGTGGATCTTTAAAAGACCCAAACTTTAACGAATTGTCATAACTCTTTTGTCAGATCAGCTATACAATTTAGAAGAATAAAACATATGATTTATACTTGTTCACTCTTCTCATTAATTTGTTATTTTTTGTATCATAAAATAGTGCACCACAACACCACTGTGGCAGAAAATCCAAAACTAAAAGTCCTAGTCCCAAAGGACCTTTTAGCTAAAAAGTCTTACTTACACTTTACATTTATATGTTGCATGCATTTCAAAACAGACAAATCGGAACATGTCTGGAAATGCAAAGTTGCATATCGGCCTATAAAAAGTTTGAAACGTGGCCCAGACAGAGCAGGAGGGCCGAGGTTGCTTCAGAAGCCTTCAGTTACACACAATGAGAGCTTAAGGGCTGAAGAGCTCTGAGTCACTCTGGTCCTTCCTCCGACTGCTCCCTCCTTTTCCAGGCTCATAGCAAGTTCAGGAACTTAGAGCCTGGAGCTGAAAGACAGACATGCATGACAGGACTGGCATCATTGCTCAACAGCAGTGTGAATTTTTAGCTTCCAAGGCAAGGAAAGGCAATTTTTAAAAGCTGAATTGTTTTCTTAGTTTGCTGAATCTTGCAGTGTTAATATTGACATGATCAACGCATGTAGGAGATACAAGTGGTCAGAAAAAGCACTCCTGACTTCCACGGAGAACCTACAGCTTCTGACTCTTTCTTCCAATAGTGACAGGAAAAGAAAATCTCTGATTTTACACAGAGGAATTTGGGGGCTGAAATAAATTATCGTGCTGGTGTGCTTTAGTGAAGCCAGCAGGTTAAAGGAGGTGATCCTTCCCCTCTACTCAGCACTGGTGAGGCCTCACCTGGAATTCTGGGTCCAGATCAGGGCCCCCTAGTACATGAGAGACATGCAAATACTGGAGAGAATCCAGCAAAGGGCCACAAGGATGATGAAGGGACTGGAGCAACTCCCCTGTGAGGAAAGGCTGAGAGAAAGCTCAGGGGATCTCATCAATGTATATAAATACCTGAAGAGAGGGTGCAAAGAGGATGGAGCCAGGCTCTTTCCAGTTGTGCCTGATGACAGGACCAGAGGCAATGGGCACAAACCAAAACACAGGAGGTTTCCTCTGAACATCAGGAAACACTTTTTCATTGTGAGCATGATCAAGCACTGGCACAGGTTGCCCAGGGAGGTTGTAGAGTTGCCATTCTTGAAGATATTCAAAAGCCACCTGGACACAGTCCTGGGAAACTGTTTTTAGGTGGCCCTGCTTACTTTCCCCCAAACCTCCCTGGTGTGATTACTATTATCACTAATTTCTGTGCCTTGTCCTGCCAAAAAGTTGGTAAGAACATTAGCAAGGATGTTGGAATTTATATTGGTGACTGACCAGAACTGACAAGAGAAAGAAGGCAGGTGAGGAGACTGAAATAAGAGCTCTTGTTAACTGATGACTTTTCACAGATGAATGAATGCCAGTCTGAAAAAGGAAGACCCAAAACAAGTAAAGCATGAGGATATGAGTAAAGTATGGTAGGCTAATGAGATGAGAAAATATGTACATTGAGAAAAGATGTATACAGGGGCAGTTTGTACTGTTTTTTCGTGCTTTGGGCAGGTTCTATCCTTTGTTTTATTTTTTAATATTATGCCATGGTAATGTCAACATTAATAACACCCAGCTGAGCAAGCTAATCAAAAGACTGAGCAAGTGGAAAAGAACGCTTCTGCCAAGATGCACTGGGCCTCTGGCTCAGGCACAGGGACTTTCAATAAGAAGGGGAGAGTACTTCTGAGGCAGTTATATCCCAAATCGTTCTTGTCATTTTTTTTAGCCAGTTCTGCTTCACATGCTCCTGGACATCTAGTGCCCTGTCTGAACTGTATGGCATGCTACCTGTTAAATATTCAAACAATCTCCTAAAGAAGAGAGAATTGGTTTAAGGTCCTTTCTTCAGAGCAAGCCTTTTTAGATATCAGACAAGCCCAACAATTCTACAGCAAGAAATTACACTCCTCTTGCCACATTTCTCTGCTACAGAATAGTTACTGTCATTATGGTTTTGAAAGTAATAACAGAATTGATTTAAATAATATGATTGCATTGCATCCATTTTTAAATACATGTATCTATATTGGAAGGAAGGTATTCCATCTGGTAACCCATCTGCAACTCCATCTATACAAGAAGTAAGTATTCATAAGAGAACATTCATATATTTGAATTCTCTGAACATATTGTGACCTTCTGTTACTATTCACATAGAATCTCAATTTAAATATATGTTGGGTTTTTAATATCTTTCAACAACTGCAGTATCGGAAAAAAAAGTAGCAAACTCAAGAATTATGAACCTTAAATGAACAGTCAGTTGCATATCCAAATTGCTCATGCCTTTACATGGTCAGTTTGACACAGAGCAGAAATCCAAAACTGTAACTTCCTAGCTCATTCCAGTAAATATAGTTCAAAGGCTTGGTGGACTACCTAAGTGACATGATATAAACATTTTTCCCCTTGAAATTAAATTAGAGGCTTAAAAGCAATATTTTAAGTAATACTAATATATTTAATGTTTTCA